GGAAATCATTAGCCAAAAATGTCTACATAAATTATCAAAGTTTTTCTTCTCTTCTCATTTGAGAACACATCTTCTGTAAACATCAAAGTGTACAGTTAGAAAATGGAAAGAAAGAATGTTCATGTTTATTCTCTTGGGGATAAAGAACAGTTGACCCCTTCTGGACAATTGAAAAAAAAATGATTGAATTCACAAATGGAATAATTGAAAATTGATGTTTCATCAGTGTGGAAAGAGATTAGCAAGATGAGTCTATCTTCATCTGTGAAGATGTCCAAGAAACACCAGTTTTTATTGAGGAATTATTTTTAAATTTTTCAAATACTAAATATGAGGAAATAAAGGAACTAAAATACATCATTATTACAGAGAATTTGAGCAAAAAAGCAAAAGATATTGGACTTTTGAAAACCCATTTGGACTTACAGAAACTTCTTGTCTGTTCAAAGAGGAGAGCCAAGATGTCAATAATAATTGTGTGCATCCATCAATAGACATTAATATAGGGAACATATCATGGTTTTTCTGTGTGTAGTTGAATTTTAGCTATTTTTTGATGACAAATTTCTTTTCTCAATTTTTTGTTCATCTTTTTTTTATTTTTACTCAAATTTACAAATAGGCTTTTTTGCTTAAAAGAATGTCTTTTTTGGATAGTTATGAAACTAGTTTTATAAATAGTAAATCAAGAAAGGCGAGAAGAAATTTTACAGTTAATTAGTTGTACTGAAGCCAAAAAAGCTGTCTTTAAGACTGAAAATAGAAATTTATCAATTTGCATTTGCTTTAAAGTCAATTTTTGTAAATCTTTCAAACGTCCCATAAATTTACCAATATATTTATTATTCCTTGCTGACAGATTTTTTAATATTCAAAATTTCAATATCTGTATTTGAGTATTTTGAAAGATATTTGAAAAGTACTTTTTCAGCTTTGGGATTTGTGTTATAAAGTTCACAGTGAAAATTCTTCACAATATGGTGGGAAATTAATTTTCCAAAAACTAATGCAACCCTTTTTGACAAAAAAGAAATTTTAAGGTAAACATTTTGCACTTGATAATATTTTACATTATCAAAGTCTGCTGTATTTAAATCATCATCACCAAAAAAAGTGACATCATACAAGATTAAATCTTTCAAGTAGGTCATATAGAATAAAAGTATTGAGAATATATAGAATTCAATTCTAATTTCATGCAGTTTTAATACTTGAATACTTTCAAAATAAAAAGTATCAAATAAATAACTGAAAGTGTTAAATTTAGCATTGACAATGAAATGGTATGGTCTATATTCTCTGATAGTTTTTATCACTTGCTTCATTGCTATTACTTCACTGTTGCCAACAGTAGCATTGTGTAAGATTAATATACTTTCCATTCGATGAATGCTGTTTCAGGCACCTATGTGTACATGTTGGAACAACTCCTGTGAGAGAATATTATTTTTAAATTACTACTATTAGAGTTTAGTAGTTGGGTTTAATAAATAAAGATGCTAGGGAAAATGTCCTCAAATATATGGCTTTACCCTAACCCAGACCTTGAGACTTTCTAACTTTGTTGATTACTCTAACCCTCAGATGGGTTGCCCTCAAGTACATCTCAGTAGCTGTCTTATTCTTCCTAATCATTTGTCAACCCAAAATTTGTTGTCTTATCTAAAGTCATTATAAATAAATAAAGTAGCAAACAAGTTTCTCAAGCACTGGTAACTGATTTAGAGTATTTGAAGAGGGATACTATTTTATAAACTTTGGTTCAGCAGCTGAGAACACTCAATGATGATATTAACTTTCAACTTGATTTGACTTTTATACCATTGGAATTGCTAAAAAAAGATATTTATTTAGACAATCAAAGAATATTAGTATTTGCAACTGATCATCAGTTAAAACTTTTGTATAAGGCTAAAATATGGTATGTGAATGGTACTTTTAAAATTGCAAAGGATCCATTTCTCCAAATGTTCTCAATCCATGGATTCTTATAAGGAAAAATGGAGAGCTGAAGCAGGTGCCATTGCTTTTTTCATTCTTAACTTCAAAAAAGAAAAAAGCTTATAAATTAATTTTCAAGGTAAGTTATATTTTTAAATACTTAAATCAATGATAGTTTCTGCAGTAAATGAATTAACTGGTCACATCTCTGTTCAAAAAATTGTTTTGGACTATGAGAAAGCCATTTGGAAAAGTATTAGAGATACATGGCCAGATGTTACAATAGTTGGTTGTTCTTTTCATTGGTCACAAGCTATTTTTAGAAAAATTCAGGTTAGAAATAATGCTAATAAGTGTCACAATTTAATCTAAGTTTATTATTCTACTTTTAGGATATGGGTTACAGCCGAGAATTTAAAAAGAGAGAAGGGGAATGGCAATCAATGAAAATGATTATGGCTTTGCACTACCTCCCTCACACTTTGGTTGCAAATCAATTTTACAAAATAAAAAGTGAGCTGGCTGAAAGAAAAAAGCTTGAAGATTTATTAGAATATGTAGAGGATAATTGGATAAAAAATAGCTTTTGGCCTCCAGAAACTTGGTCTGTGTTTAACCCATCAATCTGAACAAATAATGATTTGGAAGGATTCCATAATAGACTCAATAAAAACATGGGAATAAATTCATCATTTTACACAATTATTGATGAACTAAAGAGAGAGGCTGAGCTAATTTCCATGTATGAAAAGTTATTAAGTGAGAAGAAGATATTGAGAATGCAAAAATAAGTCTACACAAAAATTCAAAAAGAACTGTTTGTCCATATGGGGAAACTTCATAGTTGGAGACATCACAGCAAGTCAACTTGTTGAGATGTGTTCTGCTTTATATTATTAAATATGTGCAGTATTAATACAACAGAATTAAAAATATCAAAAATGTTTAAGCCATTGGAAAAAATAGCTTCTTAAATAAACTTTTTTACTTGCAATTTCCTAGTTTTCATTTTCTCAGATCAATAGTATTTAATCAATTAAGTAAAATATATTAACTCATTTATACAATTTTTTTTTAAAATCATTTCATCTTCTCTCTTCTTATTTAATTATTTTTTTAATACTATGTGGATATTTACTGTTCACTTGTGGATATTTTCTGTTCATTTGTGGCATTTTCTGTTCATTTGTGGACGTTTCTGTCAATTGTGGACATTTTCTGTTGTGGACATTTTCTGTTGTGGATGTTTTCTGTGGGCCCCTACAAAATGATCTCAAAATTCTACTTCTTATATTGTTTATTCCAATTTATTCTCTATTAATAGAGAACAGACTGTTCATATTGACTTTTGTAGTCACAGGAAAAAGAATAGAATAGAAATTCCCTTTCCTCTCTTTCTCTATAGTTTAAACAGCAAAAGATGATGCCTTTCAAATTGTACATTTTTTTTTCAAAAGGAGATTCACAAATTGACAAATGGTTTTCAACCTGACAAATTTGTAGTTGATTTTGAAGGGTCTCATATAAGGGTTAGGGCTAATGATATTTCAACTTTCGTCAGTGGTCGACTTGCTTTACTAACCACCAAATAGGTGATTTGTAGCGAAAAAAGTGTGGGATTGAACCAGTACCTATCCTAAGGTATAGTAAGCCTCTCAGAGATCAGTCTGGTGGCAATCTAACCAGCCACTTTTCCCCTCTCACTTGATAAAGGAGGAATACCTCCGAAATATTGTGAGGATTTTTTAAGGGTTTTAAGCCGTGGTGGGTGTCATAGAAAATATCCATCACAGATTATTTAATGTAACATTTACTAACAAAACTATTAATATTCCTTTGTAGTGGGTTTTGACAATAAATTTGAATTTAGTTTCAATGGCAACAGAGTTGTTTTAATAAAGTTGTTGTAAAGATAGGGCAATTTAAGTTTTACTGGTTTCTTAATTCTTAAATTTAATTTTAATAATAATTGTAATTTTAATTTTATTCTTAGCCTTCTACCCTATAGGTTAGGTTAGGTCTTGGGGTTAGGGATTAGCACAATCAGTACAGACTGGTAATCCCAAAAGTGCGCACAGACTTGCAATCAAGATTTGGCTAAGGGTTGGTGTGGCTAATGAGGAGTTGCTATCTTAAGTAACAATTCCCCAGCCTAAGCTGTAACTGTATCTCCAACAAAATCACTTACAAATTCTCCACAAGGGTGAAGAGAACCTGTGTTTAGCAACTGTAACAATTCACCAATTAAAAAATCCTCACAATATTTCGGAGGTATTCCTCCTTTATCAAGTGAGAGGGGAAAAGTGGCTGGTTAGATTGCCACCAGACTGATCTCTGAGAGGCTTACTATACCTTAGGATAGGTACTGGTTCAATCCCACACTTTTTTCGCTACAAATCACCTATTTGGTGGTTAGTAAAGCAAGTCGACCACTGACGAAAGTTGAAATTTCATTAGCCCTAACCCTTATAGGAGACCCTCCTAAGTACAAATCAGTTGCTGTTTTCTTCCGCCTAACCATTTCTCAATCCAAATTTTAGTCTTCAAATTTCTCATTTGTGGACATTTTTTGTTGACCCCAAATTTAATTTTATGAGGTTCATCCACTCTACTCTAAATTTTGAAGTTATAAAGAAAAAGACAGACTGATTAGCTCATTTTCTACTATAACCTTTACTGATGCAATAGTTGAATTAAATAGTTCAATTACTGCAATTTGGGATATAAATAATGAAGATTTCTATTGTCAATTAAAGTTGTATAAAGATGGAAATGATCATTTTCTTTTATCTAAAAGTAAAAATACTGTGAAAATTAAAGTTGAATGTAGGAATTGAGTATTATTTCTTTGAAAAAAAAAGACACTTCAGTTGGAAAAGAATTCTCTTATTTATAATTTATTATATAAAATATGTCAAATGAATTACATGTTTGTTAGGTAATATTTAAATTTAAAAAAAAAGAGACACTCTATTTTAACACGTGACTTTTAAAATTAAAAATAATACTGGATATTGAATATAAATGATGATATTATTTTTCTTTTTATTCAATAGAAACATGTGGATTTTTAATTTGTTTGTTAAAGTAATAAAATTAAATATCGATGAGAATTTGGCTTCAAAACCACCAAAAATAGTAAATGATTCAAATGTAATAGTAAGAGATGGAAAACAATCGGCCAAGGATGGAATCAATTATGTCATTTCTCAAGGTTTTATGGAAGATGTTCTATTTATTATTGGAAAGACAAATGATGTAGAAAAAGATGAAAAAGCTTGCCTTAGTATGGTGAATAGTATTAAAAAAGATGTTAAAGATGTGCTAGTTGCTGAAGAAAATGGTAAAATAGTTGGAATATGTGAAATGAAATATTCAAAGTTTATATTTTATTTAAATATATTAATTTTTTAAAAAATTGAAAATTTTTTTAGCACTAAAGATAATGACGATAATGCTGCAAAGGAATTTTCACTTTTAACAAAATTAGAATGTTTTCTATAATTTGGAATGTCTAAGCATTTGCTGAAATTGGAAGATGGAGAATGTCATTTAAATTTATTTGCTGTTGATAAAGAATTGAGAGGTAATGGAGTTGGTAAAATTCTATTACACTCTGCTCATGAAGAAGCAATAAGAAAAGGATTCCGAGTTAGTAATATGATGAACAGAACAGAAATTTCTATAGCAGAATGAAATATGTTCCTTTTTTTCTTTACTTTCAGAAAATCTTTCTCTTTGTTTATCTTGAAAATTTTCAAGGTAAAAGACTGTACGAAAATTTTGGCTACTTGCCAAAAACTTTTTATCATGAACAAATACTTTGCTTTTGGCAACAAGGTTTTTATATTATTTTATTAATATTTATTTTTTTAAATATTGGGTCATTTCATGCTTCTTCCCTTTTTTTTCATTTGCAGAGAGGTTACAAAATGGAAAAGAAACTTTAAGTTATTCATTTTTAAATATTTGAATTTTTAATTTAAAAACTACTCAATAAGTGCAATTGTAATAAAAGAAGAAATTATGTAATTGTAAAGAAATGATTGAAAATAAAATGATTAAGTAAAAGAAGAATAAATTTATTTCATTTGTTTTTGATGAACCACCTGAGAAAAATAATAAAGAATTCATTGAAAAATGGATATATTTGAATTTGTTTAAACTAACTTGTTGACTTTGTAAATGATACTATCTTAGTTGATATATTCCTTTTCCAGTTCACAATATTCCAGGCTGTACATTCATAATCATTTTTACCTTGCCATTCATCTTTAATTACCAGTTTTGAATCCATTGATACAATTGTTTGTATCTGCAGAAATGGTAATAATTTTAATATAGATGATATAGATAAACACCAATTTGACTACCATTCTCCATTCATACTTAGGAATAGGATTTTCAATTGCTGAATAAATGAGTTCATCTTTATTAGTATTCTTTGTTATATTTGTATCTCTAACTTTTTCTAAAATTTTGTTTGGCTCATTAAATTCAGAATCCGTGTGTGTTTTAAAGCCACGCCCCTTAAGGTAACAACAGTAGTGAGGGGAATGACACTATTTACAATGCTAAAGTCATTACGTCTTCCAATTAAAAATGCATTGTTTGTTTCATAAAAAAAACCACTCCAAGATGTCTGACACCCATTTTCACTGCTAACAATCTCAGTACTATGTCTAATCTCTTGATAAGGTTTTGAGAGAGAAGTTAGTGAATATAATCCAGCAATGCTAAAAGTATCACTATGGAAACTTTGATCTTGGAAGAGAGCAGTACTAGCTCCTAAACTATTTGTTTCCATCAAAAAATCTCTATCTGAAGATAGAGGAGTTGTTGCAGTAGATGCTAAAAAGTACAATCCATTCTTTTTTATGTTTAATGAGTTTGTAGATGTATTGAATAAGTCACCATTGTCATGATTTACTTTACTTCACACCAATCTTCCAAATGGTAATGAAGTAGATCTTGTTATAGATACCATAAAAGCTGGGGTTTTATTTAAATTGCATGGAGGATTTGAGCATAGTAAAACATCAACTGAATTTCCTGGACAATCAGCTCCTCCATTGGATGGTGGAGGGTTTGTACAGTTTCTTACACAGATTCATAGGCCATCCCCACAATTTGGATTACATCCACTCCACGTAGACCATTCAGACCATCCTCCTGGTATTGGGCACATAGATTCATCAGCTGTAACACATACTTTTGTTGAGCAATCTTGGATATTCAATGATGGACTAAAAAAATAACCTTGTGGACACTGTTGGGGCCAAGCAACACCATTGTAGCAGTGATAATATTGTCTACAATCATTCTTGTTAGGAAATGTTCCATTTTGACCATCTTCACAGTCAGAGTTTCTCACATAACACAATTTGTCTAATTTATTAACAATATCAACATCTGTTGAACATTCAACACTATCATTAGATTCCGCAGTCATTGGTGAGTCATCTCCTGGACAATCAGCCATATGTGGTTCAACACACATACTATATTTACAATTGGTTAGGGAGATGGTAAATAAAAGTCCAGGAGGACATTGTTGAGGATGAGCTATACCATTTATACAATTATAGTAAATTCCACAGTTGTCACGGTCAGCAAAGGCACCATCAATAGGCTTCAGTTCAGAGTTAACAGGACAAACAAATCCAGAAATATTGTACTCAACTAATGTAAATACTATTCAAAAGTAAAAGAAAAGTGGATAAATAGTCAAAGAGTTTTCTCCTTTTGAAATTATAATTTTTGGACATTTAACCTTCTTTTTAAGAGATATTTCAATTTTATTTTTGGATAATAGAAGGATATATTGTCCAATTAAAACAGATAAAACAGATTTAAAAAACAAAAAATATTTACCAAGAAGTGAAATCGGGAAGTGAACTTGTCATCAGCATTCCAAGTAAAGTAAAAAAAAAACTTTCTTTCCACTTTATATCTACAATAGCAAGTGATAAGATACATAGTGAGGTCATCAAATCTGCAATACAAAGCAGTAATCTATAATATTTTAAAGACTGAGTTCTCTTATAAATTAATAAAATTAAACAGATATTTTATTTTTGGCATTTTGCATACAATTTCAAAAGGAAGTGTTTAACTACAAAATCTATTTTTTTCAATAGATTTTGGATATTTAAAAAAAGTTCATCACTTCCTCTATGACAATCAATAATTCCATCACATATTTGATGGAAAGTCAAATAGAGATTTTGAAGTTTACACTTGAAATATTTCCTTGGTTTGTCATTTTGTTGAGTAAATTTTAAAATTGGTCTTTTGAATTATTTATAATCAGCTATAAATCTTTTTTCATAAATTTTATGAGTAAAACATGTTTGATGTTCAATACACTTTAAATTATTTGAGATAATCTTTTTTGTACAATCTGTATTATAAGAAAAAGAGAAGATTAAAGGTCAAGGCAAGATTTGGTTCATTTCTAAAGAAATCAGCTTTTGTATTCTATATTTGTAATCACAGAACTTAAATTCAATTAGATTTTATATTTTGGACTTTTAAAGAAATGTAACAAAGATCTATTGCTAATGTATTGTTTTGCTTTGGTGAGCTCTTTGCGAACTTTGTGTTCAACTACAAAGAATTTTTGCACATCTCTTACCTATCTTCTTCTGAAGTGTCTCCATTTCATCAATTTTATCTGCATCATCTGGTCTAACATTTGCTGACAACAAGACATTTATACTTGGCATTTGAATCAATTTTAATGTTTTAGAGTCAATGATCCTCATCTTAGATGTGTGATTTATTTAATAAAGAGAAATATTTTGTATAAAATATTAAAAATGTTTTTTAACATATAAACATCATATTCAAGCTTTTCATCTATTTGTAAGTCTATAAATAACTTGCAATATTCTTTTAGTAGTAATGATAACTAATCCTTAGTTCAAACTAATAATATTTCCAGATTTTGACCTAAATAGGTCTTATCTGATTTTAAAAACAGTGAAGTAAAGTTAGATAGCTGTAATTGATGAAATAAGTCATTAAACAGGTAATATTTTTTTCTTCAGTCAAGTTAATGTTAATGAATAGGTCAAATTGAAAAATTTACAAGCAGAATTCACCTATAAAAAAGAACTATACGTTTCATATTTTCACTCTCTCCTTCAATCAACAATGTTGTTTTTATGGATGTTTACCAGTTTATATTTAATGGTAAATTGCTATATTGAACGTTATGCTAATATTTTGGAGGAAAAATATTTGTATAAAAGTTCATTTCCGAAACATAATGGAGATTTTCCATCTTCAAATATTTTTGATGGAACAATAAACTCTTACCAAACCAGCTTGACAATCAGCAATATTACAAATATTGTATTGAAAATTGATCTATATAGTTTACGTAGCGTTTATTTTAAAAAAATTCGAATTTTAAAATTAAGAGATAAAAATGAAACTTTAAAATTATTAACTATCAATGAAGAAAATATAATTGATAAATATTTTCATGAGTACATTACAGGATGGAATGAAATTGATTTGAAAAATCATTCAAGTACAAGACAGCTATTTTTGTATTTACATCAATCACCTTATAATAACCTTGAAATTGGTGAATTACAAATATTGGCCATAATAAAAGTCTATTCATCTTGTATTGATTGGTATAAAGATGCTAAAACAATTTCCCTCAGACATGTTTACATTGCAGATATGCTGAGTGTTTGGTATGAAGATGTTGCAAAAGTAGAATCTGGAGCAGTTTGTACAGCATCAAGTGGCAATTGTAAGGCAGCCTTTAAAGATACAGTACTATTTACTGATGAAATATGGACACCAACCGGAAGTGATTTTAAACCTTTCATAAAAATTCAAACTTTTAAAACATTTACAATAAAAGAAATAATTATTAATCAACCATTAGAGAATGAAATTGACATAATAAAACTGATAAGCGAAGATACTCAACTGAATATAAATGTTAATAAAGCATCAATTAAAACAAGAATATTAACAAAACTAAAAACAAAATGGCTGACATTTATATTTAATATAGAAAAGAGAAAGTTTATTGGAATATACGAGATAAAAGCATTTAGCTATTTGCCATCAATAAAATATTTTATCTGTGAACCTAAATCACCGAACCAAATTGTAACAACAAATTTAGTGGCATCTCTATCGCCGTCTTACAGATACACACCACTTTCAACAAATCCTTGCAATGTCCAACTAACAATTTATCCAAAACAGTCTGTATTAAAATTAATTTTTATGATTATTCATAAATTTTTATTATCCATTTTGAAAAATTAGGTCAACGCTAATCGAATACGAAAGGATTAATGAATTTAACTCTTATCTTCGTTATCAACCAATAATCTTGTATTGTAATCAAGGAAATATTGATAGCGTTTTGGGAACTTTAAAATTTAGGAATAATTTTAAATATGTATTTTTAAATGATAATGAACCTTGTTCTTGTGAAAATGTAGCTGATTCGACAAAAAAATGCTTTATTGAACTCACCTCCCAATTATTTCCAATTGTAAATGTTTGCATTGGAAAATTATACAACGATTATGGTGGTGGTGATCCTCAAAAAGATTACGCAATACTTCGTACTGATTACCCAAAATCTATTTCATTTATCCAATCAAAATCATCTTCTAACAAAATTATCATTGACAATGATAAAACAACTTGTTCAG